AAATTCCACAGGATACGGTCAAAAATATTATTATGTCTATGAAACGGAGATGTGAATTGGTATTAGAAAAAAACGGAAATAGAATTTCTTATTAATTTTCATTTATTTAATAAAGTATTCGATAGGCTTTTAAATGAATCTAATTTATTTGTTTATCTTGCATAATTGTTAAGATATGCAATTTTTTGTGCGCGCCCTTTTTTTTGAAACACACTGTACTTACAGGGCAAGTTTCCTTACTTCCCTTCCAGTAATGTTTTCTCAGCAGTCCTTTGTTATCTACCTGAGCTGACACATCTCAATGATATTTATAATATCTCAAGTATCTGCCATGATACTTTATACACTTATTATTATATTTATGGCTCAGTTTCTTAACTGACCACACCTAGCTAGGGTTTCCACTTCTTAGGCATTGGCCTAATTAAAAGAAAATACACACACAACTATACTTATCAAAGGTATACATGCAGCCCAAAGTATTTTGACACTGTCATAAAGGGGTGTTACACTTATGTTTTTAATGGTGAGTGTCATAATTAATTTCTACTTTCTACCACCAAAATTGAACATTAGTGCTGATCCATTTTTTTTAACATAGTACGATGCAAAAAGTAGATTAAATTCACCATATAGTAAAATATATCATTTTTTTTAGTAATAATTTTTTTTTTAGAGATGATATCCTTAACAATACTTTGTATTTATAAAAACCAATTTTCCTTGAAAAAAAAATTTTTTTTATTTTTTCTATATGCTCTTTACATTGTCTACCAAATCGTCCCAGGTAAATTTCATAATATAAAAAAGTCCACCAAATCGTCCCACTATATACAGTAGGACAAAAATACTATAGAAATAGTCAAATATATACATGCAGCCCAAAGTATTTTGACACTGTCATAAAGGGGGTTACACGTGTAGTAAAGGGGTGTTACACTTATGTTTTTAATAGTGAATGCCATAATTAATTTCTACTTTCTACCATCAAAATTGGAATAATTTTGACCATCAAATCACCAAACCAATTTGGGCTGCATGTATATTTATGACTTATTTACATCTATCATGAAGGTAATGTGTTGGATTTTTCCATTTCTTTCAAAAAGGAAGTGCTGACCATGTGAATATATCAATATATTCAGATTACATGTGAGATTCAAAATCGTAAAGAATGGCAAGAAGCTGCAAGATGTTGTCTGAAAGATTTTGATGCAACAACCGAGGAAGAAAAGATATTTGTGGAAATTTTCACAGACTTGTATGTAAACCGTAACAAATTTCTTAAATTTTTAAACTAACTTACTTTTGTTTATTACAGAATTGAAAATGAACAGTCTTCGTTTGTAAAAAACAATACTATTGAAGATACCCATGTCATTCAGAGTGTTACCCCAATAATAATAAGGCCCTTTTTTAAAAATAACAGAAGAATTGTTTTTGAAGGGTATGTGCTGATGATAATATTCTGTATGCGTCATTTATATATCCTTATTTTTGTTTACAGGGCAAACAAAATGTCGGAATCTTCTGCCACCACTCAAAGGTGCTTTGATCCAGTTCTTCTTGGTGCAAAGCCTGATTTTGTTGTTAAAACAACGAATCCAAAAACACATATTGAATTGCTAATTGGTGAGATAAAACCACCAGCAAAAGAAGGTGCGCTCGTATCGGATGATCTGATCTCACTCGGAAAAACAATGAAATGCGCTCTAGACAAATCGATCGAGGACGGTGTTGATGATCTGGTTATATGTGGTTTACAAATTATTGGTACGTTAAAAATTATAGAGTAACTGTCTCTCCCTTTTATATTTTATATTGATCGTTTACCTTTTATTTTTTATAGGATTTTTAGGGAGGGTCTACGTGATGGATTTTTGGTATCATGGAATATACCGAATGATTTTAATCAGTGAGTTTGAACTTCCAAAGGGTTCCACATCATGGGGCACCATTTTGAATTGCCATCAGGTCATGAATACTAAACTGCCACACGGTATCAGTCCGCGATAAGAATGAACTTAAAGCAGACAAAATCAGATAAGAAAAAATGATAAAACCAATGTTCCTTGATCCGATAAAGATACCAATTTAAAATCAAATTGACGAATCACAAACACGGGTGACAGATTAATGAAGATGGCAGATTATTTTGAAAACATAGTATCACGGCTTTATATTTCTTAATATTGTATCTTGGTGCAGTGTTGTGTTGAAAAATTTTATAT